GTAGAACTTTAAATAAATTTTACTCTTGATAGAAAAGAATAAAAAATATAAAATATTTTTTATTGTAATCAGCAAGACTCAATAATAAAAAGTATAAATTTTTATAACTAACATAAAGCAAAAGTTAAACAGAAAAATAAATAGTTTATTAAAAATCTTTGTATGATAATTAAATAGTATCTATTAATTATTAAATTAATTAAAATAATTATTTCTTTTAATTTAATGCACGTGTGTAATGTAATAATAACACATTTTAATTTCCAATTTTCAATATGTCCTCCACACGTTCAATATAAATAATTTACGAATACCACAATATTTTGCTATCATAATTTCAATACAACAGTAATATTTAGTTGAATTTATCAGAAAATGTGATAAACGAATTAATTAATTAATGCGTGATACACAGTTCAGAACCAAAATTCATAAATTAAATTTAATATAAAAATGCATGTGTAAATATTTTCTCTTCCGTATTAATAATAATAAATACAAAGAGATAATTGAAAAAGTTAACTTTAATAATTGAAATCGACAAAATAATGTATTTTAATAGATATAATAAAACATTTGATTGTGATAGAACACAAGCAATAGAAAACTGCAAATCAAAGAATAATTTTGATTTTATTATTTAGCGCTAAATAATGCCATGTACAACGCCGTTCTCTGTAATTTCAGGCGCACAACAAATACATAAAATACATAGAGTATAACGACAAATCTTCATTTCAATTTCCAATGACTAACTATTGTTCAAACAAGATCTATCACGATGCTCATTTATACTACGACATAATTATAATGCAGATCATGACCGCTATGACGTTGAATAAATCCTATTTTCATTCATATACAATTCATTCATATGCAGTTCATTTCTGTTTATGATGATAAAATTGAAGATCTGTGTGCATCATGTTATAAAATTCTAAAGGATAAAATTAGAGGTTTTTAAACTACAGGGTTTATAATTTAAATTCTTTTTTACATCCAGAAAACACAAATTTCAAAAATTTAAAATGCTCAATATAAATGTTTACAATAAAAAATATAAAAATAGTTATAAAAATAATATGTCTAAGATTTAGAAAATCCTAGATGTCACGGATTTAAGAGATACAAATTAAAAATACAAAAATTACACAAATATTAGAAAAAGATTATTAAACAAAGATTCCGCCTTAATAAAAAAATGCTTATATAATCTATTTCTGTAAAATATATTTTGGTACATATATATTTATAAATTCTTAATTTTATCTGGAATTTTAAATAATATAAAAAGCAATAAAGAAAATAATATAACAATCCGGTAATTTTAATATTAGTCTATTACTTTTATGGATAATCAGAATTATCAAATCAGTAACAGCTGCAATCGCTATTAAAATATTTTATTGAGGAATTTGACAGTGTCATACGTCTTGACATGTCACACATCAGACAATGAACAATTACACTTCTCAATACCAAGCATTATAGCATCACGAGAGTCTTTTGGTTTATTCGTACTACTAGTAATATTACTTGTAGCAAGTCATTATCTAGTGTAGCGGTGTAAATATATACAGTTTACATATGTATATATATATATATATATATATATATATATATACATGTATGTTACGTACAGTGTTGGCATAATGTGTTAAGAAGTATATAAGAAACTAAAATGTAGTAGGAGCATCTATTTGTAAAATTAGTAAATATCGAAAAAACTATTTGATTTAATTATTTCATACATAAGATCGAATTAATTCAATCGTTCCTTTAGTCGCTAAATAGATGTTTAATTTGATTTAATAATCAAGATATATAGATATATATATCTGCAAGAATATGCGCGTAATTAAAATAATTTCTTACGCATACATTGGCTAATTGTAATTTAATAATTACGAATATTTAAATTTCTACAATATGAACAATCTATTTTTCATTTAAAAATTACTTAAACAAGATATGGTATCACCATGCGTCAAAAATGTTCAAGCTTCTCTTTCTCGAAGAATCGATAGGCAATCGTATGGCATAGATAAATCATTTAATAACAATCTGAAATTGTGAAATAATAACAAAAATGCAAAAATAATTTATAACAATACCAATATATAATTAATTAATTTTCTCATAATTTTTTATTTAGAATTAAGAAAAAAATAAAAATATGTGTGCGATAACAAAATATTAGCCAATCAATCCTTCGTTTGTCATAAAGATTTTGAGTATTGATCCTTCGTTTATCATAAAGATTTTGAGTATTTATGCAGTGACTTTTTAGATCTTTATCAGAGCAGAGATAAAACTAAACATTGGACAAAAATATAAGAAATAAAAAAATATCGATGTGAACACATAATTAAAAATTACCTAAAATATAAAAACATATAAAAATTTTCTATAGTTATGCTATTTCTTTTTAAAAATAAAAGTGTTAATTATCTATTGATTTTTAAATTTAAAATCAAATGCTTTAAATATGCAAGAATCTAGATATACTATAAAATCTAATGTCAAGCTGTGCTTAGAGCCGCCTCTGCACAAAAGACGAACAAATCGTTTTTATCGTCCGACACTGCGGATTTATCCAACGCTTGTTTTGTCGCCTGGTGATTCTTTTACGAAAAGAACTGACTGAATCGGGTGTCGTTTTGCGCACACACTCGTAAATTCTAGATGTGCAAAACGTGACAACGATAGCGACCGGCTAATCACGTGCCGTTTTCAGTCCGAGCGCACATGTCACGTCAAATTTCTCTCCCTTGCTAAGTCCACTGAAATGAACGGGCGGCCGATGAGAATGTCACACGCAGTTTCCTCGAGGATTACCTTGAGGACACGCTGCAAATCAGTGATTTGCGCACAAATATTCCCGCGCGTTTGGTCCTTCCCTCCGGCCTTTCTCGCAATTTGATCACTGCACTTCACAGACGAAGAAAGTCTCGAAGCTGCAAGGACTGTCATTCCATTTGAGCCCTTTGCCGTCCCTGTTCCAGAGCTCCAGGCAATGCTCTTCCTCACCGTTTTCATATCTGAAAATAAAGATATTAGATAGAACCTGCATTATTTTTATTAAGCAATGAAAATTAAGGAAATAGTACATTTGATATCAAGTTTAATTAAAAATCAAAATTTCACAAAATTTACAATATACATATATAATGTTATAGAACAAAAACTGTACTATTAATAATTAATAATTTTAAATTCACACTACAACGTACAAGATATATTATGAACAATTAAATTACCTTTTATACTGACATTGTTAAAAAATTTGTTAATACATAATGATGATTTAAAGAAAAAGATATGCATATAATATAATTTCATATTACACAAATATATTATATAAATATGAAAAATATTAAAATATAAAATATTCAATTTTCTTTAAATTTCTTTTTAAGAATTTAGATTTCCTTCAATAAAGAATCAAAAGAACCAATAAGAATAAACTCCTTTCACCGGAAACAGGCTTTAATACCTCAATAACGATTTATGTCAATCGTATTATAATGGTAGGGCAGGTGGAATTTCCGTGATCAATATCAGGAGGAATGAAATGTTTGCAATCGTAAGGCACCCTTACCGGAAATTATTTGGTTCGCCGACGTTCCAATTCTCGAACGTGATCGGCCTACCGTTAGCCATCCAGAAGAATGTTCCTTCCTCGGCTTGATCGGTGCCAGAGGTCCAAAAATGTTCGTGACCAAGACCAAAATCCTTGATATGCTTTTCAAGTCTGTCGTTTTCCTCCTGGGAGGCTATACTCGCTAGATGCATTCCATGATAACGACAATATTGCGAGGCCCTGTACCAGTTTGCCTGTGATACAGAGAAAGGATTATTTAATTTTTTTCGTCAAAATGTTATCAATTATGTACAAGGTGCTTCACGTAAAATGTATACACAGAGTAAGATATATATATATATATGTGTGTGTGTGTGTGTGTGTGTGTGTGTGTGTGTGTGTGTGTGTGTGTGTGTAATTTAAATGTTAAGTGTTAATTTATTACCATTGTAATAATTTCAATGATATCAATGATTATCATTATAATATTTAATGTCATTTAAGGATTGAATCTCGTGCTTTTCCAACTTTTCAATTTTTCTAATAACATTCTTTTTTTGTTCGGTTTCTAATAACATTGTTTTTTTGTTCCTGTGTGTCGCGATTTTGAATGATATATGTCGAATATTGAATAGTTATAAATATTTATAAATCATTTATGATGCTAGATGATGCACTAAATCATTGTGAACTGTAATAATTTTAATCGTTACATTAAACGCTACGACAATAATTATGGCAAAGAGAAACAAACTATTGATAAATTATGTGAAACTAAATTATGGTAGAGATAAACTGTCCTTAATATCTACATATGACATACGTGATCGTCGTTGATTACAGCAGATTGATTGGTATTAATAACTAACAGCACGCATATTGTAGAGGCACATTAATATTCACACTAAGATTACATAATCACCATTCTGGTATCGATTTCGGCAGATCATATTCGAAAACCTGTTTGGAATATTACTGACATGTAAAATTTGTTATCTAATATATCAATAATTTCAACTTTAATTCTTACATAAAAATGCAAAAATAAGAACAAATGTTCCAAAGACTAAGTTTTTCTCATCAATAATCATAATATCATGCATAGAATGCAATTCAATTATTAAATATCAAAATTTTTCAGATAAATTAGATTTTACATTACAAAGTCTGAATATAAGAAAAAAATGCAAATAATATTTTTAATATAAATTTTATGTTAGACTGTATAAAAATATCATTATTAAGAGAAGAAAAATGTTTCTTTCCTAATGAATTAAAATTTCTTAAACAGGTAAAACAAATTTCCAAATTTTTTCAAATGTTTTGAATTTATACTCTTTCATTCTTCCTTTTATTTGTTCCTTTAAAACATGCACTTATACATATATTTTATTCTCTTCCAAGTATTTTATTCTCTTCCAAGAAATTAATTTCTGCTTCACCTGCCTCGGGTTAACGACACAGATATTTTTGCTAGTAAAGTCTACATAAAGTCGCATAATGTTTAAGCGTTTAAGTCATAATGTTTTATATGCTTAACAGAAACCGGATGAATGTTGAGAATATGATAAATTTGTATTTTGATATTTCTGTATTACGCCATGTGTCGGCTATGTAAATATAATTTCAATCATTTACACTGTAATTATGTGATTTTTACGATTATGGCACGTTGCAGAAGCTAGCTTCATTGGCAGTAATTCTTTACGATCGTTAGAGATTTCCTCGCGGCATTTCGTTGCCGCTTAACAAATACGAGGGAATATTTAAGTGCAAAGTTTGTTCTCGGCTATCACACACCGTACACGTGCCCGTGTTTCCATTTACGAATATCTATTCACAACATCATGATGCATCGTATATCTCTTCGCGATAACAGATAATCGCGAAATCAGGTTGCAACGAAAGTCACAGAACGTAGCTCACGTATACTGCTACGCGGTTCTATTCGTGATCTTCAAAGTTTCTTATCAGTATAATTAGGATGCGTAGTACACGTTTACCAAGAGACTGGATTATCCGCTTGAAATTCTGTGGGAACGACAATGAGGCTATTATAAGGAACATGTATACAACTACACTTCTGCTAAGTGTATGCATGTGATTTTCAGTGTATCTTATATATTTTGATAATTCAGTAAGTTATATAAATTGTTTCAGGCCATTATTTCAGGCCAAATTTCATCATAACAATACTATGATATTTGTCAATTTGAATAGATTAAATATGACATGCAAATATATTCTTCATTATTATGAGATTAAAACATTTTCTTCATTCACCCTTTGAATATAACTTACATTTAAGTGAAATAAATTTATAAGTAATAGTTCATTAAAATCTTTGCATCTACCTTTTACATAAGCAGAGTGTTTGAGGAAAGTAATTATCGCAATTTAGTGAAAATTTTGCATATTCTGCTTGTTTTGTGAAACTTTATCTTAATGAATCTTTTCGGATCTTAAATGCTATGCTAATTAAAATTTACCCAAATTAACATCGTTGGTAATTAACACCGTTAGTAGCTAATGCTTATGTAAATTATTTGTCTTAACTGCAAACTGATCTTCGTGTTAACATAACAGAAATTAAACTTGCAGTTAATATACAAGTATGTATAATTATTAAATTAATTTGTTTTAATTAATGATTTTAATTAATTCACTTTTAATGGCTACTTAAGAAATTATAAATTCTAAAAGTAAATTTTGTGTAACGTATAAAAGCGTATTTAAAGTATAAATTCATCTCAATTCAACTTTTTTACGTATTCTTTTACACACTATAACACTATAATATTCATCTCGTTATCATTATAAAATTTTTGAGCTGTAATGTTTTTATTATATTCAATCACACTGCAGCAACTTTCATTTCTAGTAATTTCATTACTACTTGTTTCAATATCTGCGTACATTTATCGTATATATTTTTCATTCATTTTTAAACTTCGTTTAAAAAGAATTTATTTAAGAGCATTGCAAATATTGTCTCTCGTTCCGTCAACGTCAACGCAAATTTCGCCGCCGCTCTCTCGACGCTCTTTTGGCGATCCCACCGGCATGCACGGCGGGACAAGGTAGTGCGCGAAGGACGCGAAAAATCGAGTGTAACCCGTCGGGAATGCAAATAAAGCGCAATAAATAGAGCACCATCGCGATTGCACCGGAGCGGCCCGACACGGCGGCATTGCACCGCCGCCGCATTCCCTTTCCGCTCGAATCTCACAGCGTGCGCTCGAATCTTCTGCGCCGCCATGAGCCTTCGGCACGAACCCGTCGTTATTCGTGCACGATGGGTTCGCTTAAGCTCGGTCTACGTTCCCTAAACGAAATAGCAATCGTACGTGACGATCAACGGCAAGCTATTGGCTTTTCGATTCCGAATACTATTTCAGAGGATAATGCATGACCGAGGAAAATGAAGATTAGAAGAAAAGCAATTAAAAAAAAAAACAGAGACATGTGTCTTTCTAGAATAAAGTGAAAAAACATATTTTTTCTGGATTGAAAATAAAATATGAGATATTGTGAAAGAAATATGATTATACTGAAAGTAGAGAGATAGCAGAAGAAATTCCACGCGAGTTTATTTAATATTCTTTATTCAACAGAAATCATTAATATACTTCAAAAGAAAGTTAAATTATCTTTTAATCTAATTTTCAATCAGATCTAATTTTAAGTACTTTTATGTTCTTAACTGTATTTTCTGGTTTTAATAATGAGAGTATTATTGCACGATAAATTTTATTTCTCAGTCTCCATGTCATTGTAAAATTAAAATTATATTAAATAATAATAATTAAACTGCATTTCTTGATAAAATGTATACAAAAATAGAAGCTTAGAATCATATGATGGGATTCATTTGATCGGTTAATTAATGCTTCATATAATGCAAAATTTCCTAAGAAAATCAATATTTCCTGGTTCTTCAAACATATGCATACCTCGTTGCAAATGTCACGTACATCAAACAAATAAATTAATGTGAACAGCGGTAAAAGAACAAGCGATATGTTTGCTATCTAGAAATTTGACTTTCTTCACTTCGAAAACTATCTTCTTTTCTAATTTGAAGTAAATTCTTTATACGACACACTTTGAAAAAGCACATTCTCTATCGTCAGAAGAACTTGAAATTTGCCGTCTCTCGTCAATTCTGAAAAGTCAGTCATTGTCCGACAACGAGTAAAGTTGTTTTGCAAGGTCTCGATTAACAGGGCTTCGGCCATTATTTACTTGTAAAACAAAGAGATCTCGTCTTCAGTGTGATTCGATTAAAGGAGAGAGTCAAGAGGGAAGGAGAGAATTTCCTTCTTAACTCTTAACTCTTTGCGCTTTTGTTACGAAAAGCTTGCTAAACGAACGCCTTTACGTCACTTCCATGTCTAGCGAGATCGTCCTGATCGGATCCGCAACAGCGATGGGATTACGAAATCCGTGTTAATAGCGCGTGAGTCAATAAAAACGCTTAGGCTATCCGGGAAGTCATAATAAGAGCGACTCTAATCGATACGATTGTATTTGCGCGCGGACAGACACGCATTTATCCACGTCAGCATCAGAAATGTCACTTTCGAAAGATCCGCATGAAATCAATATTTACTCTAAAATCGTCGAGATACAAGATACATAACTTTAAAATAATTGTCACTTTATAAGACAAACAAACTTTATAAAAAATAATCTATCGTAGAAAATAATCCTTATATTATAATCCTTACGAGTATTGTTTTGTTTAAATTTATGTGTCAATATCATTTAACATTTGTACCTGAAAAGAAAAAAATGTTTATGATAAAACAAAATGTTTTAGTAAGTGTTTTTGTCGTTGTAATTTAAATATATTGATATAAATAGAAAATTTTTGTCTACCTATGATTTCTAATAATAATTTTGGTCCTCCTTTCTATCTGCTATTTCTAATAAATTTAGCTTTTGCAATCTGAAATCACTTTTGCTAAGAACTCTTTCAATTTTCTTTTATGTGTCAAATATTTCGTTTCTTTTCAATTGTGTTTCATCCTCTTTCTTTCATCACGTGAGTTTTCTTTGCTGTAAGCAACACAAGGTCGCTGTTATCCGAAAAGACCCTTACTATCCTGGTCCCCGGCATTCGATGCACCGTAAAACCGTCCGTGACAGCAAAGCCGGAAAGTTACGAGCTCGGAAATAATTTGATAAAGTCCGAGACCCGGGTCGGGTCGACGGTTCGGTCAGATAAATCAGCGTAACTGGCAGGAGCAATACCTTGAAGAAGATCCCCAGGTAGTATCTCTTCTCGCCCAGCTTCAGTAAGGGCATCGTCCATCTTGAAGCCGCCAAGCTACTGCTATGCTCGTCCACACAGTTTGGACAGTCATCTGAAAAGAAAATGGAAAAGATTATTAATATCGATAATATGTATATTTAAGCAGAATGAATGATAATAAAGTATATGCGCATCTCTTTCGAAGATCTCACCTAATAGACAAACGATCCATGCATTAAAAAAGATTAATTTCTATATGTTTAAAATAAATATCTAAAAAAAAGTTTGTGAAAATGAATATATTTCTTGACAAATCAATGCTGATTATATTTAACGGCAGACATTCAATATGTGAAACTGCAAATTTGAAACTACCAAATACAAAAAATATTAAAATATAATAATAATTTAACTTTAATAATAGTATAATAGAATAATAATTAATTATATTTTTATATTTTTGTAGATTGAATTAATGTTTCAAAATTTTTAGATAATATATTTGTCAGCAGCAACAATTATAAATCAAACAACATTATTATTTTTATATTAATAATTATGTAAAAATGGCTTTAATAATAACATTTAAAATTTTCATCACAATGCAAAAGTTCAATTGCATATCTTTTTTCTAAAACATTAACTTTCTAAAATTTTTTTTGCATTCATAAATTAATTCGTAGTTTTCAGTCATTATTAGCATGCGTTTTAAAATGCCCACTTGAAAAATTTCTCCAAACACATCGTCATTCTCGTAGATATTCTTTTACAAAATATATCAACAAGATATTCTGTTTCTCTTCAAAAGAGAAATTTATCGTTTTACATTACATAAACTGTCATGTTCAATAAGATGTATACATATTAACGTATTCAAAAAATTCATATAAACTACTAAATTTAATAAATATCAAATAGTGAAAGAAAATAATTATTCTTTTGTTATATTTGCAGAGAGTTTACAAAATATAAATTACAAAATATAAATTCTAATCATGTTTCTTAATATTCTTAATATACATATTAATACTTATTCATAATATAATTACATATAATTATAAAAATATATAAGAAATATTTAAGAAATATTTCTTTATAATTAAAAAAGATGTTTCAAAAATATAAGGACTTTTATTTTTCATAATTTGCAATTAAGCAATCCAATATTTTGACATTATTAAAATAATGCAGTATTTATTTTGTAGAAATGATATTAAATTGCTTTGCTGCAATGTAAACTGAATTTGTCCAAATCGGTTTCATCAATCTAAGTCGCGTCTAATTTATGAAAAAGATCAGAAGGTACGAAGTGAAATTTCATAACGATCTTTTCTCCTTCTGCCATCAGTATCTTTTTAATCATCAATGCAATCGGTTTCTCTGACTACGCGCATAATAGGAGAACGCAGCAATTGCGACTAAAGACTTCAGCAATTGCAATTACGCAACGCGGAAAAGATCACATATTTGTGTGCATATGCGTACATGAATGTGCGGTTGTCTCCTTTGTCTCCTTCATACAAATAACGTCGTCAAATGTTAAAGCCACAATAAAAATATCAAGTATTTATAATAGCGCAAAATCCGAAAGCCGATTGCAATAAATTATGATTGATTTATTTTCAACGATGTGGTTACGCTGCAATATGAAACAAATTATCTTTTCTGGGAAAATATGGATACTTAAGTATGTCATAAATAATTGAAATAAAATATATATTGCAATACTATTGCAATAACATCGTGTTAAAAAAGATATTTATATTAATAAATTATTTCATTCTAATAACTTACAAACACATTATTAATACATAACTTGTGTATAATCAGAAAAATCTTAAAATAATAATTAAAACATATCAAGCTTGTTCTTTGTACCTTTTAAAGATTTTTATTTATCATATAAACATCATTGTACGCATAATAAATATCTATGTTACTTCTTTTTTCCTGTAACATATGTAAATTGATTTTATTCAATTTCTTAATATCGTAACGTATATCACACAAAAAAAATATGCAAAAGTATAATTCATGAATACATGAATGATAAGCTGTTTGTTTGTTCAATAAATTTATTGCTTAATAAATTATATAGAACAATAAAATTTTATCTTCATTTGTAAAGAAGCCGAATTTCAAGCATTCTCATAACCTTGATCCCAAACAAATACAAGTTACACAGATACAGATGATGCTTTGTATCTTCCACATGACGACAGCCGCTTTCACCGACTCACGCATTTCTTCAGCGCGACATGATTTCAGTCGAAAGTTGCCTTGCAACCTTCTGGGAGATGGATCGAAATAAAATTATCGCAGAACGATATTTTTGTAACGATAACGAACAATAATCCTAAATAATTAAGATCATCGCTGTACCGGCTATTCGGTTGCAACGAGCGAGCTCGTCGTAGCAACATAATACAAATAGCAATATTACGTTTTGTACGGGAAAATCACGGAAATCTCTGCTGTCGTTACCCGGAGGATGTGTGCGATATCTTGCATGCGTTTACTTTACCGCGTACTATGCAGTAAGGCTGAGCTACAACGGTTACACGAGCGATTGCATAAACCGCAGATCTCGACGCACGTCTCGCTGCTGCCGTGGCGCGACGTGAAATTTCGGCGACGATTCTGTTTGTTCTGTTTACGGCACGACAGGATTTCTCCGGGGCTCGTTCGTTATAGCGCGCGTGTCGTGCGTGCGTGCGTGCGTGCCTGCGTGCCCGCATCCTCGCACCGTTAATTGTCGCGCTAAATGAGCCGCCCTTTCGCGTAAGTGGCCGGGAATGGCTTTTTTCGCACTTTTGCACACGCAATGCGCCGCGCGCCAGTCACTTTTTCTCATTCACTCTCTTTTACTGTTGCATTAATCTCGCCGTTGTAGCAAAATCCGTCGTTATTCTTCTTCGCACATTTTACGCGTTTATATGTGAAGCGCGAGATTGTAACATTAACGCTGCATTACAAGGCGAAATAGATTAAGAATTACGTTTTTTATCGTTTGTGTTATCGACAAGCTCCGAGGATATAAAAAGATAACTAACAGCTTTTTATTCTGTATGATAGATGGAATAAAATGGTTCCTGAAAACAAGTGATTAATTTAAAAATAAATTGACAATTAATATATAATAGCAAAATAATAGAAATATGTAAGAAATAACACACACACACACACACACATATTGATTATAATATAAGGCAAAAACTCGCCTTTATAGTTAAAAAAAATCTAATTTCTTTATAACATATGTATATTTAATGTATAAATCTTGAGATACTTATTGAGATACTCTTATATCTTAGGATCTCATAACAGTTTTTTTTTAGAATTACTGAAATATTTACACTCGACTTCTTGTTGGAATTTTATGGTTTTAATCTCAAAAGATCTTTTAAATTCTAAATTCGTTAAATCTCCCAATCTATTTAAGAAATTCTCGTTAAAATAAATCTACGAAAGATGATGATATAAAACAGTGTTTAAATCAACTCGATTCGTCGCGTAAATTAAACGGGATAATACTGCAAGATTGCATGGTGCTAAAGTTCGCGACCTTTGTAAAACCGGAGAAGATGGCAAACAAAGTAGACGCCTTCTTGGTTTCATCGACGGGCTAATTAGGCCGGCGTACTGCATATTTTAATAATCGCCTCGTTAATCTCCGCGCCACGGCGTCAGAAAACATTTCGTCGTGTTAATATTCAGCGGACTTCTTAATAGACATCTCCGACTTTTGCTTCCTGTTCCACTTTTTGGTTTCACAACATCGCTTCTCGTCACGCAGATTACAAGATGAAAAAAAAAATAAATTACTTCCATTAGAGGAGCCATTAACGGGTCTTGAACTATCGCAACTTTTATTACTTGAGTTTTGATATAATTATAGCTTAACTTTTCCGATATCGATGATAGTGCCTAAGTTTTTTAAAAATATTCCATACATATAGGATTCACAATAAAAAATAATTGTTTTTGATAGTAGTAATTATCGTTGAGTGCTAATCAAGTCTTAATTTCCAACTATTGAAAAATTTTTTAATAGAAACGATGTATCGATGATTATTAAATTATACAATATTCATATAAAATAAAATAACATTGAGCAAAAGTATGATCTGTCTCGTGAAGTACAGGAAGTAATGGATAATCTACTGTAACAACGATAAGAGCCATTACGTTTTTTGAATGATACGAGAAAAAGCATGTAGTGTAATTAAGAGATCTCCCCTCTGGTACTATAAAAAATCCGGCAAAATTCGAGGGATTTAGATGACACTGTCCACGCCACTATTTGTTCTACAATGCACGCATTCTGCTAAATCCATTGCTCGAATTTACAAATCCGCCAGCGGCCATTACTGAACTTAATACACGTCACGATGTATAACGTCGAGCATGCCGTTATACTCGTTCCATATCTAGAAAAACAAAGGGTGCTGGAAAGCAAACTCGAGCTTTAAACCACTGAACCGTTAATACAAATAAACGAAAAGATTTACTTTACACATCAAATTTCTATATACTTTATATGATTAATAAAAGCACAGAAAAATTAACTTTTAATATTTATTACGGGCAATCAATAATTAATATAAATTTGGAGCGATGTTGCTCCCTCTTTTCTCTTAATATTTTCAGCAAATAAATTTTTAAAGTATCAGCCAACTAGATAAACGAGTTATCAGCATGTTAAATAAATCATTAATATAAATGTTGCAAAAATATTAGTCAAATAATTAAAATATTTTATAAAGAATAATATCAGAGAATATTGAATGTAATTTTGCATACCTCATTAGTGATACAACGGATCGATAGAGTACAGATCAATCAATCATTTTTGAAACTTGCTAAAAATATAACATTCGTCTATAATGATTTTAAGATTACAATCCAGAAAGTAAATGATCCTTTCACTCTTAAAATATCAGATTTTATCGAGTGGCAATCTGAAGCTTGCACTCGTTTAAAAGAAATGACATCGTAAAGTTGAAATTTATGAGTGTGATCTTATACACATACAAGCTCGAAAATGACGTGAATTAAAATCACATGATCTGCATGCACAAAAAATTTAATTATCGCTTGCAAATTCACAAA